GGTATTTTCTAACATTGCGGTGCCATCGCGCACCGTGGGAAATGTGTGGATATGCCTCGTGTGTTAGAGAGTGAGGAGGGGAGAGGGAAAGGAGCGAGCAAGGGATGGAGAAATAGAAAGACAGGGTGAGAGCGTGAAAGAGAGTGGCAGAGTGAGAAAGAGAGAGAGAGAAAAGAGAGAGCAAGAGAGCGAGCGAGAGAGAGAGAGAGAGAGAGAGAAAAGAGAGAGCAAGAGAGCGAGCGAGAGAGAGAGAGAGAGAGAGAGAGAGAGAGTGTGAGAGATAGAGAGAGAGAGAGAGAAGAGAGAAGAGAGAGAGCACATAGTTTGAGCAAAATGGAGAAGCAGACAGATTTTCACAAATTTATGCAAGGCTATTTAGGATGGGTAATTACTTCACGCAGACACAATGTTTTACCCACAAGGTTCCCTTATTCACACCCAAGTTAAAATATAAAAAAATTATAAAAGAAACACGACCCGAACGAACAGCTTTCAGGATATACTGATTTACGGCCCGCGGTACCGGAGAAATCTTTACTAATCATGGCAACAATGGCTAGGTAGGGTGGTGGTGGTGGGGGGGGGGGGATAATGGTTAGTACTATCAGTATCAGTGAACATCAAGCCCTACTTATATTATCCTTATCCTCTGCCAACCACTGTCGCACCAATGTACGCTTAATCAACCACTTCAACCTACTGCTGTTTGAACGTGCTGAATCCTCTTCTCATCTGTCTCCATTGTCTGTCAGAATGTCTGTCTGTCTGCCTGCTGCCTGTCTATCTGTCTGCCTGCTGCCTGTCTATCTGACTGCCTGCTTGCCTGCCTGCCTCTCTGTCAGTCTACCTGCCTGCATGCATGCCTGCTGCCTGTCTATCTGCCTGTCTGTCAGTCTACCTGCCTGCATGCATGCCTACTTGCCTGTCTGTCTCTGTCATTCCATCCCCCTTCTCTCTCCCTCACCTTCAGCTTCCATCTCTTTCCTCTCTCGCTCTCCTCTCTTTCTCTCTCGTACTTCACCTCTGCCCCCTTCTTTCTATTCGAACTGTCTTTCTCCCTTCTAATAGCCAGTTAGCCAATGGTCAGCTCGCGGCAACCCCATCACTGACCGATTGCGCGTATATTGCCCCTTGCTTTGTCAACGCTTCCTGGTTCGAGGCGGTGCACGGCGCGGCCGTGCTGCCGGTACGGGGGCGGTGCGGCCCCGCAGACAGCCAGTGCCTGCCCGTGCTACTACTACTGCTGCTGCTGCTAGTCAGTCGCTCGCTAGCTGCTGCTGCTGCTAATCAGTCGCTCGCTAGCTGCTGCTGCTGCTACTACCCGCTCCCTGCTTGCGTCGGTCGTTCACGCACCGCTGCAGCCGGCACTGCCCGCCCCGCGCCGCCATTGTCGTGCGTGCGTGCGCTCACGGCCGACGGCTCTGAGGCGTATGCGGCGTTAATTGACCTCCACGTCAACTCAATCATGGCGAGAGGGGAGGCGGGCCGTAACACTCTCTGTCTGTCACCCACAGACGGTCATGCGTGCGTTTACACACATGCAAACACACTCACGAGCATACACGACCGCGCTCGCACGCACGCGCAAATACGGACATACAGACATAGACACCTACGCACGCACGGACGCACGCACGCGCACGCACGCACGCACTGGAGGAGGAGGAGGAGGAGGAGGAGAAAAAGGAGGAGGCCGACAACAACAACAACACTGCTACACACGACGATAGCAACAGTGTGATAAGCACTCCCTAATCATTTACAGCTTTTCACATCACATGGTGAGAACAACAACAACGACAACGACAGCAACAACAACACCAGCAACGGCAACAACTACAACAACAACAACAACAACGACAACAATAACAAAAACAACGCTGCCGTACACAATGACGATGACGCCGCGCACGACGATAAGCGCGCTCTGTAATCGTTCACCACTAGTCGCATCATCATCATCACTGTCGTCAGCGTCATCTCCGTGGCTTCTCCTCCTCGGACTGCCGGCACGCGCAGCACACACGCGCGGGAGAGGAGACGACGACACGCTCGCACGCTGCGTGTGTCGCGCCTTCCTGACGAGTGAGCGTGGCGTTTCGCGCCTCGCGTGGGGCTATAGCAGCCCGTGTGCACGAGCGTCTTTCTCTCTCTCTCTCTCTCTCTCTCTCTCTCTCTCGCTCCCCCTGCCGCAACCCGTCTTGCTGGGCGTGGATGCAGATGGATGCGGTGCAGGGAGAACCGAGCGCGCGAGGGAGCCGTGGGGGTGGGAGCCGACGGATGAGTGGTAGGGAGGCAGGGCAGGCGGGGGTGCCTGCCGGCACATCGGATGCAGCCAAGAGAACTCGATCTCTGATGCGAAAACTCGAGCCGAAGCGAGAGAATCTTCTTCGCCGCGAGCGTGACGCAACGACGACACTGCTCTCCTCTTCCCCTCCCCTCCCCTCTCCTGCTCCGAGATCCCGCAGCCCCACGCCGTACGCCTACGCCCCAAACCCTTGCTGCAAAAATCCGCCTGTTATTATATCACTTATCGGCTCGGCAGATCTGCGATGTAAGTGACTGTCATTGCCGAGGTAAAACAATATCCCCTTATGCAGCCGCCGTGTGCGCGACCCCCCTCCCCCAGTCACGCGGCGGCGGCAACTCAAGGTCGTCGGCAAGCGTTCGGCAGGGACAATGGCACGCTTGTGCGGCTGGCGCGCGAAGTCGTGCCCCTCGCGGAGAATCTCAAGGTCCTCCCAGCTGCAGCGTCGGCATGGAAGAGACCGGGTAGGTGCCGCGAGTTGACAGTTACTCGTTCCACCTGTCCCACGCATAGTAAGTAAAGCATAGCATAGTAAAACCTCCCTAATCTCGCCCCACCCTCGGTAACCTAGACCTCCCTCCACCGGCCCCACCCTCGGTAACCTAGACCTCCCTACACCGGCCCCACCCCCGGTAACCTAGACCTCCCTACACCGGCCACACCCTCGGTAACCTAGACCTCCCTACACCGCCCCCACCCCTGGTAACCTAGACCTCCCTACACCGGCCCCCACCCCCACAATCAATACTACACACACACACATCAACCACACACACAGTCATCACACACACATCACACACACACACACACACACACACACACACACCACACACACACTACCACACACACACACACACAAGAGCACACACACACACACATCACACACACACACACACAGCACACACACACACATCACACATCACAATACACACACACACACAACACACAACCAATACACACGTCGAATTCACTGAGCAGAATTTCACACGTTGTAGCTCTACTCCTTGTCACAAATAGCGTGAAAAACTGAATGCTTCTTTGCCGTACGTTGCGGCGTGCGTACGCTTATCTCCTAAATCTGTAAATCCCTGCAAGCTGTGGCATTACTACCCGTGAGTGCACTTTTGTGGTAATACAAACATAACTTACTATAGACAAGGTTGGAAGAAAATGACAGCACCCGTGATAAGGATCATAAAGGAAAGGTTAAGAGTAAGAAAGGGGCAGAAGAAAATAGAATTGGAGAATCTTAAGCACACGAGCAGAATATTAGAATTTAGCAATGCAAGGAGAAATATTGTCACTTGGTTCACCGGACTCCAGTAGATCGATAATTGGGTCCACAGCACGATACCGGCGAAGTAACCTCCGCATTGCGGTGGCATTACTTCAGTAATATGATTTTTTAAAATGCTGAAAAGCAAGTATCACATTCCACGTAAGATAGTCGGTGAATGAAAGCGGAATTCGCAGAGAAATATCGCGGACATCACGCTGACGGTCGTATCAGGGAGTCCAGCAGTAAAACGAGAGCTGTTACTTTGCTCTGTTTAATGTTACATTATGTTATTTTAATTATAATCCATGTGATTTTGCCTTTTTTTTTACAAATAACAATTCTTTGTCAACCGTCAATGTTATTCAGACAGGAGTAAATAATAAGTGAGACTATATAATAATGAAAGAAATAATAATGAATAATAATCAACACTCCACACTCCCCCACCCCCCCCCCCCCCCACCCCCCAATATTCCCGCTACCCACACCTCTTCAACCCTCACCCACCCAACCCCACCCGCGCGCGCCACCCACACCCACACACACAAAGGTAAGACTAAGCTAATAAGAATTTATAAATTAGTTGGACATTATTTCACGGTTTTCAGTATCAAGTAGTATCCGTAATAAATAAGACTCTTTATGTTCTATTGGCCTTATGCCACGAGTTGAAGGGGAGCTTTGCGGCAATAGACCGGGACATCACGTAGAGTTCCTGCATCTGTGCGAGTATACTGGATCTAACAGAGCCCGGCGCGAGTGGCGAGTAGGA